ATGTTACAGGAATATTATGTCCTTTGTTATATCCCTGCTCCTCAATCCTTAGGCTGCAGAATTCAGCAATTGCTCCAGAGTCTCCACCTGAATCTTTGGTAATCACGGGTGGGATGGCCAAAACCGTTGGAAGAGTGGGATGCCCAGTTCCCATGTGATATTAATGGGAACTTGGCACTTAGTTCATTCACTCACAGGCTTCAAGGGGAGAAGAGCTCATCATGGTCATCTAGGCTACATCTAGACTGCAGAGTTTTTACGTAAAAACTCGCAGAGTGTCCACATTGCAAGCACATTTTTGCACAAGGAAATGTATAGCAAATCAGAAGAAGAGAGGGGGTTTTGTGCAAGAGTTATTCCTCTTTCTATGAGGAATAACCCTTTTTGCAGAAGAGCTCTTGTGCAAAACAGGGTGTGTGGATGGGAAATGGGGATTTTGTGCAAAAACAGCCTATTGAAAGAAGTAAGGGTGCTCTGTTGGCTATTCTGTAAATGGCAATCAGAGTTTCCTTTTGAGAGAGTGTCCATGCAGTCTGGATGCTCTCTTGTGCAAAAGCACATTGCTTTTTCAATGCTCGTTTGCAGTGTGGATGTGCTCTTGTGCAAGAAGCTTTTGTGGAGGATCTCTTTGGCAAAAAGCTTCTAGCAGAAGCCTGCAGTCTAGACATAGCCCTTCTGACCTCCTGCACATCACAGGCCACAGTAACTCCCCCACCCACTCCTGTAACTGGCGCTTAACCTTGGCCTGAGTCACTGAAGCTCTCACATCACTTTTTAAAGGCTTTTAAGCAATAGAGAACCCACTGTTTACTCTACTTTCAAGTAGACGGCGAGCCATGCTCTGTGCTGCAAAGGAAGAAAATAACAAAAACAGTCGGATGTGAGGGAACATTCCTTCTAAATCCTAAAAATGGTGGTCATTTACACCATGAACATGTGGGCAAGACCCATCAGGCAAACAGCTAGTTAAAAGTTCTCCAGCATCAGGCTACCCATCCTAGGTCATTGTTTTTAGCTTTCCCTTCTGGCCACAGGCACACAGCAGTTTTACAAAACAGAAGGCAAAAAGGAGAGGGTAGGCCATGATGG